CGCCCGCGCGCCTCCTGCGCGCGCGGATCCGGCGTCTTGCGCGCGGCTGTCGGCGTTCGCCCCGTGGCTCGGTCTCCACGTGGTCAGCCTGCGCTGGCGCGGCGGCCCCTTTAGGCGATCCTGGTGTCGCGCTCGTATGGACGGTAGTTGGTTGGTGCGCCCTCTTTGGTGCTCTTGGTGCCCGCATGGTGTTGTGGAAATGTTAGTCGGCCAGATGGGTCGGAGCGCCTTGGGATTGGAGAGAACTGAAGCTGATGGTGTCTGGTGAAAGAAGTACAGAGAACGCGCGGGGACTGAGTACTGCTTGATAGGCGTCCACTGTAGTTTTCGTCGTGTTTGGTCATCGTGTCTATCATTTGTGTATCCGAATCATTGCCTATTTTGCCCGCCAGGGTACTATTTTGACTCAACATTACAGGTTATTTTGTCCAACGCCTCATGGTCATAAGAATCTCTTGCTGCGTTTTGGTTTGATTTTTTAGGTTAAACCTATCGTTTGGTTAAAAGCTTCATACATACGTCATCCCTGCGCAAAATACACAAAAATTCGATCCAATTTACTTAAGGCGTGCTCGCAAAAGGTGCCAAAAAATAGTGAGTTTACATTGCAACAGGCATAGCCTTCGAGCTGCATTTGCAGGCTGCATCCAAGAGCGTTGGCTGCTGGATCTACTCTGCCGCATATAATCTGTAACAATTTGATGGTACCATCTCAGCATGTAACAACTATCATTAGCTACACCATCTCACGACATCTCGCCCAGGGTAGGCCCGAAATGAGATGAATCGGGGGGCAGTCGATCTAACCAGTTACGTTATCGAGACAGATGAACCTGAGAAACCGATCGTTCTGGCTTGTCTATGGCATGACCTGCAGACGGTCATATAATTCAGATAATTGCATCATCGTACTAACTTTTTTGCGTCGCGTCGGGCTGTGTAATTGCTTTGTACAGTACTCATTAGCCGTCTTATGATCCTGTATTACTGTATCACATCCATGTCAACGGTCCATGACACGAATCAAATTCATATCAGGCGTGGACACGTGTCAATGGAGCGTTCGCGCCGAATGCGTTTTCAATCTGCGTTAACGGCCCGCACGCGCTACGTCGGTAAGTTTGATCTTTTCATTCCAAGAACATTCTAAGAGATTCTAAGAACGTTTGAGCCATTCCCGGATGGTTTGGAGCCCCAGAAGGTTAGCATTGCAGTAGTTGTGGGCTTTGAGAGCCTTCGCGGTGCTGTCGGTTGAGTATGATCATATATACTTAACTGCACGTGATTTCGATGTGTAACATGAAATGTAAGGTATGGATTATCTCTTTCCTCCTCACAAATAACAAATAGGATAAGTCAGGAATTGACGACACTTAGCAACTGCTCTGGTTTTCGAAGCATTTGTAGTTTTTCAGCAAACTGAAAGACACAATGTCGAACTTGAACCCATAATCATGTGCGGAAACGAAAGCTACCTCTGTTTGAGCAGTGTTAGAAAAACAAGGTAACATCCCTCTGGTCTTCTTTAAAAGAAACGTGACTGGGACTGCCCAGATCGTCAAAGTGAGTCACATGATATGGAGTCATAAAGTCAAAATGCACATTTATGAAGGCAAATGTTGAAATCACCGAAAGATGCAATGTGCTATTGCAAGTTTAGCAAGGTATTGTTTGGCACGCGTTGGGCTGGCCTGCATTGAGTCGTAAGCCTCACAGGCACCCTCGCTGCATACCCCCCCCCCCCCAAATTCCCGAGGCTGCGATTTCTTGAGAGTTCTTCTAATCTTCCTTATGCCTGGCTGCTTAGTTTTAGGACAATGGGCAGCCCCATGCAAAAATTCACGTAGGAAGTTCAAATGTAGCGCGTAATGCGCGTGCGGTTTTATCGTGGAATAGATCAGCTGTACACAGACCATCCACAGGGGTCTTGTTATGACTGCACATTACATCTTGCTATTGAACTCCAGGAAGTGACAGTCTGCCAGCTTCCCGGCTGCGTGACAGCTCTGACCCGCTCCTTTTGGCTTTGTTCCATTTTGCGTCGGTGGTATTTGTGTCACGGCGTTCGCGTTGTCATAAGAGCCATCACAATAGGCCTACCGCCAAGGCTGGTTTCCACGACATTTCGGTCGACTTGGTTGGATGGAAACGGAGCTGTTTGCGTTAACGAGCGCGCGATCAAGCATTATTCATGTGTCGTTCTGCAAGAACATAACGTTTAAACTGATGGACGCCTGAGCGAAAATTCGCCGCCTCTAAGAGCATTAAATCACTTGAGTGAAGAACGCAATCACCCATAACTTGCCTAATGTGGGTGTTTTACATGAGAATGGCAGTCTGCGGTTCCTCCAAGCGACACGGGGAACCGGTTCAAGCCACAGTGAACGCGCAACAAGCGTCCTGGGTGATCACGGAAGGGTACACGAGGTGTTCCAGTGGCCCTTGACATAAGGCTAAGGTGATCTTGAGCATTGAGTCAGTCATGCAAAGGGACAAAGCCACTGCAGTAACGCTGTGATACACTTATATTTGGGCCTCGTTCTCCATAAGCCGATGGGCTTGTTCGTACTCAAATAAACGGCTTTAAATTTGGTGTCTGGTTCGTGCTCAAACATGCAGATTCGATGGACTTGTTCAATTCCTTAAACTTATTTGCTTGGTGCATCAAGGCTTTGCAAAAAAGCCTTAAGTTTATCACTCAATCACGAGTATGAACACGAGGGCAGTAAGCCTGCTCTTGCACATTTTCCCATCGAACCCCTCTGCTAAGAATGCGTGGCTTTGCCCGATGTCCAAGCTTCGCCGGCTCCCGACATTCCTTCACCTTCAGCGTCACCGGAGCGAGGGCACGGACACGACCTTCCCTTGGCTATCGCACTGTCACGCTGTCGTACTATCGCACGCACTGGGTGCCTATCTCATACACAGCGCGTTAACATAAAACTTAAAAACGGCAACAACAAAAACGGGGCGGTGGCCGCGTACTTAATCTACAACATGACTTAACATGAAGTTTATTCATTACACATTACATTTCTAACCCGGTCGCCGACCATTTTGCGATGGTTCATGAGGTTACCCGTCATATCAAATTGCGCAAAACGAGGTCAAACCAGGTCTAGTCTTCGCGCATTTCCATAAAGTAAAGATGACAGAAATAAAAGCAGGTCGACTTCTGCTACAGAGGTCATCGTTAGGCTGCCGGCGGCAGCTTAGGGACCTCCAATGAACTTGTCCATGCATTTTCTAGAGTAAAATATTTTATGTCCAGCGGCGTTGTTGATAAAACTCCAGCATTTATGCCCACATTGCTACTTATCGACAATATGATACATTTTAGACATTTGACCTGGCATGACCGTAACCTTGAATGACCACTGTACAAAAAATGACCTAAGTCGGATGCTTGGGTTCATGATATAGTTCATATGCTTGAGTTCTAATTTGAAGCAAGCTACAACAGTTGATAACATGTGACCTTGGCTCTGAATAACCCAAGGAAATGCTAAAGCATAGATGGCGCCGATGATATAAGAACTTAATTTTCAGAACAATTAGGCAATGGGTTCTGTTGCGCAAACTGCTGAACGTGCCTCGCGGTGAAACGACTTTCAATATCATCGCCGTCCAGACATTTGAAACGAAACCAAGGGGAAGCGACCTGACGTGGTGGAGATCCTAGATTTTCAAGGTAGGTGTATAATGTCTGGAAGTTAAGGTCGCCGAAATTGCATTATGATGAGCCGGACGGTTCCAATCAAGCCTCCAAAAGACCCGAGGGACGCTTCACACACCCCATGCCGGCAATCGATAACACACATAACTCGTTTATCCCAGCGCATATGAATCAGCGTTTTACGTTCTACCCAACTTTGTCGTAACGGGCGTGCCAGTCCGTTGGGTCGCTCAGATCCGCGGTCTCCGCTTGTAGTTCGACCTTGGAGACCAAACGCTGGTGCCTTGACTGGATATGCCGGGCCGTGAAACTGCGCAGTTACTTAGCCCAGCTTTAGCGTGACTTATGCCCACTAACGAGTAGGCGCTTTGTACAATGTTTTAGCAGCCGGCACCCAAAAAAATGCAGCCCATACTGGATTTGTCAGCTTTTAGACTGTCACCCGATGCCTAAAGCCAGGCAATATAGGCGACAGGGAATCTCGGCCATCTAAATTAATACTTGGAAGGAAATACGAATACTTGTGCATCGATAGCGGCCACCTGCATGGGTATCAATTCACTTATGTTTTCGCATCAACGACGTAATGACACTCGGTGTGTTATCGCATTGCTCGTGACTCGCTGTAAAAGTAGCCTTACTGGTGTGAGTAACTAACATGTTTTCAACCTTCTGCCTCTGAAATTATTGGTTGACCCATTTATAGGTTTTTCTACTGTATTTATACCAACAAAGACTTTCTATAATTCCAATAGCTTGTTGTTAAAATAACAATACACAAATACGCTTTCATTAGTAAGCTTGTTATGCGCGCCTAGGCACACTGCTTTGCTGTGAAACACTGCGTCACAACGGTCTACCAACTTCTCTCCACACAGCTCTTGTTGTTGCAACAGCATTGCAGAAGCATTGCAGCGTAAAAAGCGGACGGCCAGCGCGAGGAAAATGTTTGCAAAGTGATTCAGGAGGGAATACAACAAACAGTTGCGTGCGCGTCCGAGAATAGTTTTCAATTGCGCCCGTCCCATTTAGAACTCAAACTAAACACCCAACCGCAAACTGCGTCACGCTTTACTACGGTGTGATTAATTTACATCAGATTGAATGTGAGAGCGTAGCTGTGCATTCAACCACATACCACATACATTTCCACAACATCCACCAGTCAGTGACACGACCAGCTGACGTTCAAACCATGTATTATAGCCGGTAACGAGCAGTGATGTAATAACAAGTGTAAAATAGCCACACACGATGCAAAAATCGCGGATGGATCTTCCTGATCGTCACGAGAGGTACCCGTGACTTGTCGCCGCCACCCTGGTCATGGACTCTAGAGGGTAAGCGAGGGTAAGAGGGTAAGCTCGTAACGAGAGAAGACATGAACTTCTGGCCCCGTCCCATCAATACCGAGATACCGCTGAGTATTTGGGGTACACCCGCAAGGTTTGCTTGGGCTGGGCTGCCAACGTGGGCTTAAGTGAAGGCGTGGGCTTGTAAGACGGATAGTACTTATATGTCACCGCCGGCAGGAGGGCTGACCTTGGCTCGGGCCCGGCGGCAGGTGTGGTTTTGTAAGCAGTGGCTGCATCGCTCGCGTGGGGGAAGTTAAATGAGACCGACGGTTTAAACACATCTCGACTCTCGTAAACGGGGTCGCGCCTATTGACAGCGAGCGACTTTCCGGCAGCGCTCGGTTCGACAGCCGGGTTGGCTCGGTAGGTCGTGACCGGCTCGTACGCCGTCGAAGCGCGATAGCTCGCTGGAGGGCTGTAGGCAGCGTCTCGCGGGTACTCCACGGGGTTGGGCTCCGCTACACCGGGCGGGTTCTCGGGCGCGGCGAGGTCCAGACGGCTGGAAACGCTGTCTTCGTAGGTGACCTCGGCGTTGTAACCACCTTCGCTATCGGCGATGTATTTGACGTGCTGGATACGGCCGTCGGGCAGAGCCACAGTGTAGTACCCCTGGGTGCTGTGGCCATCGCTCTCCTCCTTCTGGGAGAAGTAGGCTCCGGAATACTGATCGTTGACGATGTAGTCGTAGGCGTAGGACTTCGGCTGCCCGTTGTACTGCGGCTCCGAATCGTACAGAATGGGCTGCTTGACTACGGCTGAACGGTCCAGGGAGGGCTCATAGGCCGGCTCCTGACGAAGTGTGTATCTTCGGGACGGTCCGATCAAGGTGGGTGCGTTTGTCGGGCTCTGGCGGAGGACGGACGGCTCATATGCTGCAGATTGCCGGTATGACGCCGGCTCATAAACTGGCGGCTGGCGGAGCGCAGAGGGAGCGTATCTCTGCAGTACTCCGCTAGAGATGGGTGCGTACGTCGGCCTCTGGCGGAGGACGGCAGCCTCTTCCGCTGGAAATGTTCGGTATGAGGCCGGCTTGGAGGCTGGCTTCTGGCGCAGACCAGAGGGAATGTGTTTTTGGGATGGTTTGGTCAAAGCTGGCTCGTACGTCGGTCGCTGACGGACGGTGGTGGGCTTGTATACCGGGGCTGGTCGATATGTAGTCGGCTCGTAGGTTGGAGCTGCGCCATACACGGGCGTTCTGTAGACGGCGGCTTGTTTAGCCGACGAAGGCCTATGCGCGCGAACCGATTTGTAGAAATCGTCCTTGAAGTCTGCGAACTCAGATATCGCACAGGTGGCACCCGCGAACAAGCCAGCCAGTATGAAGAGCTGTAACAAAAGTTTTGAAAACCGATTATTTGACTTACACAACCCTTAAAAATGTTAGAATTATGTGTGTAGCAGTACTGTTGCGACACGAGGCGTATGCTTTAGCATAAATATGTACTAATCAGGGCTTGAAATAATTGTTCATCATGCCATATGTACGGGACTGAATTGATATTTTAACTGATCATCTACCGTCTTGCAAACATTTATAACGCACTAAGCATATCGGTTGGACGTCAACAGCCACCTCAGATGTTGAAGACTTGCGTTAGCGCACATATGAAGAAAACACAACGCATGTGTTGATGGCGGCATTCAACGGAACTGCATCTAGAGATTGAATGCCGGGGAAGTTCAAAGCCTTGCGTGCGAGTCTCAATCTGTCACGAGTATGTGTCTCTGGCTGAGAACACACATTCCATATCGCACACGTGAGAACCGTGGTCTGATCCATGGCGTAATCAGCTTGCATTCGAGTCTTAACCAATCCAAACTGGGCTGAAGTTAGAGCTACCAGAATCTCAAGTCTGACTCGCCATCAGGGCCCGTGAATCTTGAGCGGAGTGTTTTGGCTCGGCATTGCACTCGCAACCCCGCAGTAAGTAAGCATTTGCAAGTCGAAAAGTGTTTCACTGACTGCAATCTCACAGCAACGCGTCCAAAGTTTTGTTACGATAGGTACGTGGTCGAGAGGTGATGATCAATGCAGAAAAGACAGTCCAGAACCGCAAAGCATGCTGATAACACCTTTTACATTACGAAACAGCAGTTTCTGACTACCTTGCGCACGTACCCGCATAACTGGTCTTGTGCTGGCACTGGATCTGTTGCGACGGCAGTTGAACTGGTGCAGTGCTCTCGCAGCGTGCTCTCTTTATATCGCGAGTCACGGAAGCAAACATCCCGCCATTGCCATGATCCCCGCATTTGGCAGTCGCACGTCACCGCGCCCATCCGCTGCGCCGTCTGCATGGTGCGCCGCCCGCCGCGCGCGATGCGGCACTGATGGGCACTACTGCGCCACATTGGCTCCGCAGCACAAACACTACCGCGTGTCGAGTCAGATTGTGCGGAGTGCGCTTCGTCTGCTTTTGTCAGGCTGTCCGTGAGCGTGATTAGACACAGGAAGAAGAGATTAAGAAAACTACGGATGCAAATCCCTACCAGTTGCTCAGCTGATCCATCTTGTGGGTTTTGGCCTTGGTTCTGGGCCATCCAAACACATAAGCAATGCCACAGGTACTTACCAACCAGTGTAGAAAATTGGCTTTGAGTGAAAATGACCTATCGGCTTGTAAGTACATAAACAGTAATGTAAACAAGAGAGAAGCCTGCAATATCTTTCATGAATGAAGTGATCCAAGTCGTAATAAAGCTAGCAGAATGCTGCAATATGTGAATCGAGTTGAAACCTGCAGAATGTTTACTGAATTTGTTAACACCGACAGAAAGTAAACGTTCATAACTTTTTAATGACTGGGAAAAAGTTGATGCTTATGGAGTAATAATCCACCAAATAGATATACAGGCCGAAACCAACACACTGAGTAGCCAATGCCATCACAAAATAACACAAATTGACGTCCATCGTCGCCAGCACACCTTGTAAGGGGTGCCGATAGTGTATTGGTTAACGCGTCTGCGATAGCCGATGCACGTCTGGGAAACCAGAGGTACGGGGTTCGACTCCCGCGGTGCCCGCCCTTCCTGCCAGGGTGAGGGGCAGGCGACGCCATAAAGCCTCAGCAACTGAGTGCGTCGTAAAGCCCCAATGACATGACATGACATACAGTATACCTTGAAACTGACATCTGGCTATTTCAGTCTTAGTTGGTTCGATGCATAGCTCAAACGTTTGACCGTTATCTGGTGACGTTTATCTTTATAGTTTTGGCACGGGCTTGCCGATGTGGGTTTTCCAGACATCAGTATTTAACACGCGTCCGTGCGACTCGTTGAATACGCTTCACTCGGGCGTTTTTCTCAATTACATTAAACAGTTGGTTGTCAAAGGCCGTGTCAGCCCCAATCATGAGCTGGCCAAAGGGCGATAAGAGATCCTGTGACTTCTATAGTCGACCCATCGCCTCCTTTAGACCCCGCGTCTGGTGAGCATGAGCAGAGCATGTTCGGGCACTGCACCGCCACCACCGGCCACCGGGTCTGGTGAGCATGAGCAGAGCATGCTCGGGCACTGCACCGCCACTGTCGGCCGCCAGGTCTGGTGAGCACGAGTAGATCGCATGCTCGGAATTGAACGAGCCAAAGCGAGCGTCCCGAGGCCTCCTATCGGTACCGTCAGTCAGGTGTACAGTTTTCTATTCAGTTGTGGGGGAGGGAGGCAGCTCTCAGCTCTGAGAAAAAGTGGAGCAGCTTCGACACCGCTCAGACCCCAAGCTGAAGCTGCAGCCAGGCCATCATGCCGTGTAATGTGGTGATACCCAACTGCGACACGGCGATTTCCCCCACGTTTCGAAATAACAAATCAACAACCGAAAGTCACGACATCGTGCAGCAATCACAGACAGGCTCCCATCCTAAATCAGAGTGGCTAAAATTATGTTCCAAATCCTTGAATCTCCGGAAGTCTAGGGGTGCAGCGCAGCGCTCTGGCAAGAGCGCCGACAGGAAACGGTTCGGCGGACCATTCGCGACTGCAGATACGTCACGGTCCACGTCCCCCTGTCGCCGCCCTGCACGGTGGGTGCACAATCACGTGCCCCGTTGAGGTTTGGCCGTTGCGAAATTGGCACAGTGCTGCGCTGGTCGTTTACATCACCGGAATAAGGAAGTCATAGTCTGCATATGAGCGCAGGTGCACACGGAGTCTCTGGAAAGGAAAGTGCGAAGCAATGCAAGATGCCAATGAAACGTTGAGTATGCATGTATACAGATACAGATGGTAACAGTGACGTATGTAGTAACTGACCCTAAATGCACCTTTTCTACACTGATCTCATTTTTTTCAATGCCGATAAGACGTCGGGTATGTTAAAATTGTTACCGGTGTCGTATGCAGTAAATGACACTCGGCGGCGTTTTTTTTTCTAAATCGACCCTTCCGCGCTTTTTCGGCTTGTTTGGTGTAGAGTAAGTCAGGCAATGTTTCACACGGCGAACGTTGCATTTGCGGCGCAGGATCAGCCGACAGGTTCTCAGCCTGCTGCGCCACAGGTCACTGACAGATTGCCACGGAGGGTCACTGCTATGACTCTATCATCTATGGTAAAACTACTAGAATCTGTTAATCACTTTGCATACTCAGCGGTATGGCAGCACCGTGAGCGTTGGAAATCGTCATCTATTTTAATAAATTAATATGCACTGTGGCTTCACCATTAAGCTAGGGTGGAAAGTCGCTAACAGACACGTTTCCTTAGAAATCGTTGTCTCTCTTTTGGTTTAGCGGTCTCGACTTAAAGCGCGCTGCAGAATAAGGGCTGAAGATGAAGGGCTACGGGAGCGATCTTACTTTACTTCAGCTCTTGACCTCTTGTTCTCTACTTTAGGGTTTTTGGCTTTGAGGTAAAATAATGCGCTATGGATTTGAATGATTAGAATAGCCGGTGTTGTTTCATGATTCGCCGCAACTCGCTGGATGGACCTGACGTTGGTATGTGCTTGAACGCCATGAAATAAATCATCACTGTGGGCCCATCCATCGAGATACTCCCGCGGCAAACGGCGATTAACCACCCTAGTCATCTAGATATGTCGCTTTGATAACATGAGAAGCATGGGGAACAGTCAAAGCCATGAACTGAAAGTGAAAATAAACCTAGCGCTACGGTATCCATCAACAATGGATCGCCAAACAATGCTTCCGGTGACAGCTTTTGATTTCTTTTGGCCTCAGAATCGAGTAAATCGGGAGCATCGAAGGCTGCGCCGTGCGATTGCCTCGTGGCATGCCATCAACACGCGTCAGCTTGTCAAACATCGGACAAGTTAGATTCACTGGATATTTCTGACGTCTTCAAAGGAGAGCCAGAACTTCAGCCTGGCCCTGCATCGTTGCACGCCACCATCGAGACACTAGCGACATCTTTCGAGCGGCCCGGAGAGCGTGTTGCGCTCGGCGCTGCACCGTCAAGGTTCGGTGCGCCGGATATGGAGACCGATGGCGGCGGTCGCCGGGACCGAAAGCCCGGAACTAGCTGAATGGAAGGGGAAAGGGGCGAAGCGGCTCGTAGATGTGCAAGTCTTCGATGCATGAGCCACATCACTGCACACAATGCGCATCACTCCAAAGAAAAAGTACATAAACGGCCCCGTGAAAGGCTAGGAATCTTGAAATGAATTCTGTCCACATCAAGACTGGACTTAGCCTGCGTATTCATCAAGATGAAATTCAAATTACGTGTGCGGTGTAAGCTGTGCGGTGAACCATAACTCATCTTCACGCTTTGATGCATGACTGTCAGCCTCTACATTGGTACCGAAGTTTGCATGGTGAGCAGGTGCAAGGCTTACAATGCTAGATGACATGGCTAGTCATAGTGGTGCCCAGGAAGCTGGTGGTATATTAACCCGCACATATTCGCACAGCATGTGTGCCAGGGCAATGAGAGTAATAAGGCGGCCATTTTAAGCTACTATTTGTTCTATTTTTTACTACGTTTTTATTGCGGAGCATATATATGTATATATACACACACACACACACACACACCACACACACACACACACACACACACACACACACACACACACACACACACACACACACACACACACACACACACACACACACACACACACACACACACACACACACACACACATATATATATATGAACATAATGTTGATTATACTACTCACTAGACGGCTATATGTACAGTTTTAATCGCATTTTTGAACTATTTGTATAGGCATTCTTGGCAGTTCACTAGTTATGAATGTCTGCAACGTTGCAACTGCAGTGTTTATGTTGAAGCCAGTCAATGAGTGCAACGCGTTCAATGCGGAGCTCGTCAAATGTATCCGATCCGATTCAAGATGTTCGTAATGGTCGTATTTCTATGTTGCACGTGTCGTGTGCACAGATGAAAACGTCACACAAGCTATTGTTTCTATAGCCATGCCAGGCGCTTTCCAGAAATAAGCTCGTCCAGCTGTTGCGAAATAAGCGCGTTGCACGTATAATAAGCACGTAATTGCACGAATAACTGCACATATGATAAGCACGTAAGCACGTCCTGTTTTTGTCAGCGTAACAAGGCTTTTTGCACCCAAAATTGCGTCACCACATCTTATTTTGCCCGGGAGACTATTTTGCCTTACGTTACCTTCCAAGCAATGTTCCACGTCCCCTGACGGGTGCTATATTTTTGTGATGTGGTGCCCTTTAACTTATTCACTTGGCGCCCCCGACCTCCTCGAACGGGCTCCTAAAAAGAAATTGGCCTCTCAGTGACAATAAAAGTCATCTGAACTTCAGGCGCCGATAGCCTTTTTGTTGTTTCCCTTCAGTCAAGGTACACTGGAGCAATATAATAACATCGGAAAATTTGGTGTAAGAGTCCCCCCTTCCCTCCAACCCCCCCCCCGCTCCCCTCCCCTCCTCATCCCGTCCCCGGACACCTAGTAGTTCTACTAACAATTTTTAGTGTTACCTCACTGGATAGGCATTTTGTTGATTATGCAGGTTTAATTCGTGCCATGCAGGGGAGTTGCCGTTAAACATAATTGTTCTTTAGCTGCTGGGTAGCTAGACTTAGAATAACTACAGAAAAGACTGATTTAAAAATGATTGCGCAGTCTGCCCTGGGTTTTGTAAGTAGACATATCAGACGCCGGTTTTTTTGTAAAAGGGTCCCGGATCGCTCGGACACTCGGTCACACCAGCCTCGTCTCTTGAAGATAGACGAGATCATTGCAGCAACCTCTCATATATGTCTGGCATGCAATAAACAAAATTACATAAGTGGTGAACGAAGAACACTCGGCATGGCTGTTTCTTGCCTTTATAATAAACTAATATTATTAAAAAGATAATTGCTCATGAGGAACGATATGTGCCCATTAGAAAGTCCTCATTTTTAGGTCCAAGCCAAGTGTCTCTGGTTCGAGTATGAGTGCTTTAAGCATTGCATCTGATTGGGGAATCTGGTGAAGTGAAGAGCAACCTGTGCATTGTATTGCATCTCAAAATCGATCTGGAAAGACAACATGTCTTACCATAGATGGAGCGATCACGAACTCTTTCATGAACAACAGGGTCTCCCAATCCAACAAGTGGCCTCCTGATCCCAACACGAGGTCTCCTGGACCGAAACAGGGGCCTTTTGGAACGCAAAATGAGCCTGGAGACAAGAAGAAAACTCTTCCACAGATGCATTCTGATTCTCAGAACGGACTCCCGAAACTGCAAAGCCCATTGAATACAAAAAAAAACGGGGCCTCTAGATCCAATGCAAGGTACATCTAATGCATAAACGAGATCTCCTGATGACGAACATTGACATTTTGATGCAAGGATAGCCTTTTTGGTCCATCTAAGGAGGGACTGGGAAGTCCACCTTAGCATAGCTAGGGAGCCTCCTTGATCTTTCCTTTATGTAAGAAGCCACCCTGAGTATGCATGTCCTTCCGGCCATCACCGCCGATCACAGTTAGTTGAGGACATACGGCCGGTTCATTCCTCGCTCCGACAGAGGCCCGTCCAATGAGGACACCGGCCGATTCATTCCTCAGCCCAACAGAGACACATGTCAGCTCGTCTCATGAGGACACACAGCCGGGCCACCCCTCACCCCGACAGAGGCTCGTCTTACGAGGGCACATGGCCGGTTCATTCCTCACCCCGACAGAGGCCCACGTCAGCTCGTCTCATAAGGGCGCACGGCCGGTTCATTCCTCCCGGCCATGGCACCCCGGCAGAGGCCCGTCTCATGAGGATACACGGCTGGTTCATTCTTCACCCCGGCAGAGGCCCGTCTCATGAGGATACACGGCTGGTTCATTCCCCACCCCGACAGAGGCCCGTCTCACCGCGCCACTGGTATTACCAAAACTCTGACTGACAATAGCATCCAACTGTCAAAACTCACCGCGGGTGGCCTCTATTAGTTTCCTCAAATGAAGGATCGCCTTCAAGGGGTCGCCTCCCATTACGTGTCGCACTGAGATCGGCCATATCTTAAAATGACAAAAATATCCCCATTTAGAGCTTTAGTTAAGTTATGAAACGTCTGCTACGCCGCTGGGAGCACTACGTGGAAAGCAGAGAGATTACGAAGAGCAATGTGCTATCCGTAATAAGAATATACCAACAGATGTGTTCTCTGCCGGGAAACGGAGCCTTTTGGAATGCACTGGCATATGACAAGTGTAATCCTGCTCACTCGGATGCAAAAAAAACCTTTCATTTGCATCTTGAGGTTGTATTACAAGGACAGTTCACGCATTACACATTATAAATATCACATCACTCATGTGTGTTAAAGCTTATTCGATACGCATTATACCCTTTAAACACAAGACAAAGACTTAAAAGCCGGAAACCCGAGGATGCTGTGGTAAACTGCCTCAGTAAGAGGACTTGTAGGCGGGGGCAGCGGCCTTATAGGTCGGGGCAGCAGCCTTGTAGGCCGGGGCAGCAGCCCTGTAGGCAGGGACAGCGGCCGTGTAGGCCGGGGCAGCAGCCCTGTAGGCCGGGGCAGCAGCCTTGTAGGCCGGGGCAGCAGCCTTGTAGGCGGGGGCAGCAGCCCTGTAGGCCGGGGCAGCAGCCTTGTAGGCCGGGGCAGCAGCCCTGTAGGCAGGAGCGGCAGCCTTGTAGGCAGGGGCAGGGTGGCTGTAGGTGGGCTTGTAGGCCGGAGCGGCAGCCTTATAGGCGGGGGCAGCAGCCTTGTAGGCAGGAGCGGGGTGGTACTCGGGGAAGGTAGCCTCTCCCTCGTAGGTGACCTCAGCGTTGTAGCCACCGTAGTGATCGGCGACGTACTTGACGTGCTGGACACGGCCGTCGGGCAGAGCCACCGAGTAATATCCTTGGGTGTTGTGGCCATCGCTCTCCTCCTTCTGGGCGAAGTTGGTGCCGGTGTAGTGGTCGTTGACGGCGTAGTCAAAGGCGTACGGCCTGGCCTCCTCCTTGTACTGGGGCTCCGGGTGGTAAGAAGCTGGCTTGTAGGCCGCCTGGGCGGGCTTGTAGGCCGCCGGGGCGGGCTTATAGGCCGCCGGAGCGGGCTTGTAGGCCTGTGAAGCCGGGGCCGCTGAGGCCGCAGCCAGGAAAGCAGCGACGATGAAGACCTGCAAGGAAACATAGACGTGCTTGCTTTCTGTCTTGCCACATTACGACTAGGCAATGAACAACCCACGTAAAGTGCCGCATATACGCGCGAGCCAGGTAACCGGATCAGTCATCGAGATGACATCATAATTTTGTGGGAAACGCAAGGTGCATTCATGTCTAATTTGCACGGAAAAGGTTGGTCCAAACACCGAAAATGCAAGCAATGTAAGATGAACTGCAAGATCTATATGTAGATGTTTATATACACTTCGCAACTTAGGACGGTGTGCATTATTTTTCAATGGAATTGCACATTTTCCTGATTTGCAGTGATGTCATGTGGGTGCACACTCGTCTCTGAAACTACTGAGTCCTTTACTATGCATTAAAAATGAACAAAAAAATATACCATCTCACTTTCCGTCACCAGACACTGCCACTAGCCTGTATTAAAGCTGATACATACCTTCATGATATTGCTGAATGCAGCCTGCGCCTAGTGGGAAACTGATGCTGGTTCCCGTGGGGCGGCCGATTTTATAGGCCGGCACGCCCGCGCTTTACCACGCCGATGTTGACGAAGGTCGCGGCTCACTTGGTCACACGTACCACTTCCCTAATTATCTCAGCGGGCGTATGACCTGCTTCTGCATGGTCCTGGGAAGCAAGCGCAGGCTTCCGAGTGTCGCAATACACCCGGATGCGAGTAAGAGGCAGCCAGCGAAACAGATTAGCAGATTTGCAGAAGGATTGTCAGTGGTATATAGACATATACATATGCATATATATATATATATATATATATATATATATATATATATATATATATATATGTGTGTGTGTGTGTGTGTGTGTGTGTGTGTGTGTGTGTGTGTGTGTGTGTGTGTGTGTGTGTGTGTGTGTGTGTGTGTGTGTGTGTGTGTGTGTGTGTGTGTGTGTGTGTGTGTGTGTATGTGTGCGCGCGTTTGCGCGTGATTCATATTTCATGCTTCTGTACTCTCAGCCTAATTTTTGAAGGAGCAAACTGCTGACCTGATATTGGAAACTTGGCTAATTGTATATGAATATCTGGACTACATGCAAGCCTGGGTGCCATATTCAAAACATTCAATGCAAAAAATAATCATCTTTTGACCAATTTATGCATTTTTAATTTTGAAAATGCAAATTGTGTATAACCGACCTCATTTTTCTCACTCAGTAGCCATCTTCACGCCAGCATTTTTAGACGAGCTAACTTCTGGCATTTTTAGCACTTTTAACATTTTTACACGGGAGGTTTTTAGCACAAAATGGGTAAACGGTCGCACTGGGTACAAACTGTGCCAAAATTACGAGTATGGGTGCGGGTATGATAAATGATGGGTGAAGCGTGAGCGAAATGACAGGTAGATACTTCAATATGTACCACACACTGCTTGCGGTTTGTAAAGTCACAACTAGCTCTATCCGCACTACGTTTGTAATGATCAGCACAAACGATGAGTTATGTCGCAAACTTCCCTGGAACTCTTAAATGCTTAACTGCGCTGCAGGCGCGCTTAAGCGTTGGCATCTGATGCTCAGACTCTCCAGCCCGAAGCTTCAAACCCACATAAGCGCGGGGTACATGAGCCCGTCAGCCGCTCACGCGTTGCAGTGGGACAGGCGGGCCGGGTCTTTACGACCGTAGACGAGGCGTGACACTGTGAGAACCGGCAGCGTCGTGGCCGTCAAACGGGCCACATGTCATGGGCGTGCCTTGGGTCTATAAGCCTGCTGATGATCCTGATTCTTGTATTGCCCCATGTGGCAGTGGCCTAAAACCTTGTGTTGTAGATACACCGTTTATATTAATCCCAAATTGCTTAGTGTCTACCTGTGTAATGTCAGGCGCACTTGAACTTATCGGAATATATATATATATATATATATATATATATATATATATATATATCCCCTCGCTATAGGTAACCAGGTGACTTAGTTGCCGTCCTGCCTTGAACAAGCTCGCAATGATGACATTCGGCGTTGTATCAAAATAAAACGCTTGAATCAGACCCGTTCATTTATTTCATGCTTAATTCATGCCCTTTCATACGAATGTTTGCTAGGAAAAATACACCTGCGCCTGCTCATCGTGACGCGTTGTGACCATGTGGATTCAGTCAACCGGCAAACAGACTGGAGAGGTTCCTACAGATATGGCCCACGAACGCTAGTCGGATACATCTTACGACATGAGGACCATAGCTTTACAAATGTGAACCTAAATGTTTTTCTTTCGTTTCGAGCCTCGCGAGCGTGCCCATTTAGCCTGATGGCAGCGAGCAAACGCTTAGGTAACTGTTTGGGGCGATGTGGAAACCAGCCACGCCCATGATCATGTCATTCTGTGAGCTGGGCTCGTCACCGCACCGAAACCGCATCATGAAGCCGAAGACATTGGAGGGCGGCACCACGAGGCCGGCCATTCTGCGGTTACCGCCGCAAAGCTGCCCGTCATGTAAGCCTATGGCAATACTTCGTCTGCTTCCAATATACGGGTCATCAGCGCACACCTGTTGACTGGTTCTCTAGAACTTGTATACGCTGTGTGTATCGGTGTTTATCAGCTCCGATTGCTGGAGTCAAAACACAGACCTGAAAATGTCCGTGCGGTTGGGTGGTGGCCGATCGGGTCCTGTCGTGGATTTGGCACCTTGGGTGTCATAGCTCCGATGACTCCAAATTTACACATTAGACCTTGGCGATGCACGAACACATCGTGCATACCGTGCCTGTGCACGTTGTGCATGTGCATACCGACAAATGGAAATAATGGTTAGAGCCTCCACCGCTTTTTAATTGGCGCCCCTGGTGCCGCCTGTTGCGCACTTCCATTTTTTGGATGCATGCAGTTGTCGCTAAAAGTGTTGACGTTGAATGGCGTTGCACATCTTTAATGAACGTTTTATTTATCATTGCGCATAAAGGATTTAATCAGCACGGCAAGAGATGGCAGGCCGCCTTGCAGTGATACCACGTTTGTGTCTCAGGCTGCTCGAATCTGAATTAAGCGGTGGAATCAATGTCATATGCATGACACAACACAAATAAAATAGATCAAACAAAATTGAAGATTCCTGCAGGAGAAGAAGTTTCAAAAATATAAGCAGAATTTGAAAATAAAAAACACCGCATCTATCCAGTAATACCTCTCTGCCGGCAATAATATATATATATATATATATATATATATATATATATATATATATATATATATATATGACATATAACGGTATCGCGTGGTGCAGCGTGCGGTGCGCCGTTTTCAACTGACTTAAGGATCTTCAATTTGTCCTACCGATAGGTGTGCCAGACACTGTCCGGAGTGTGGCCAATAGCGCCTTCTCCGAAACCGTTTTCGAATAAAAGAGGCTTGGCCCAACCGAGATAGATCGGGCTGTGAAAGCCATCACGGGTGTGACACCCTGTGGGCTACGCTAATATCCATCAAAGATATCGCCAGTCGTGTGCTGTGTATGCATATAGTTGTAATTGCGCTATACATATGCGTATGCATATACAGATACGTGCACGTCGTTTCGGGTCAACACCCACATTACAAATTTATGCTCAGCTCAAAGCTTGAATGGCAAATGGGGCTCGGTCCAAAATTGGGCCAAAATCTTCTTTTCACAAGATCATAATGCATTTTGTTACTCCGCGCGCTGCAGTCGTTGTCACGGCAGTATGGCACGTTGGGCACGGCGACGTCCGCCTCTCCCAAAGCTCCGGATGCGGGCAGTCAGCCCAGTCAGGCTATTTTTTTCTTCCTGTGGTGCCCCTCCCTCTCCCTCTTCCTCACCCCGACGGATTTGGTAAAATCACATTCCTGTAGCGCTACATTTACCGATAACACGGGCCTACAAGCATCTGAAAACAATGTTACTTTTGGTTTTGTGACATCATCGTACGATCAGCTGGAAGCGTTGGCAGTCTTCACTATCTTCACTTAACTCTTGACATGAGTCGCTTCAACGTCCTCCGTTGGCCTCTGAAGATACAGTTTGGGCATCCACAGACAACAGGACCCCTGGGTCGGCATGGCTTTTTAACATTATTACCACCGACGTCCTTCATGGTAGATCCTTAGAACAGCCACATAACGCCTTAAAAGAAACAACTGACGATTGTCTACGTTATTCAAGCCAGTCAGCTTCTCACGACATGAGCGCAACCAAAGGCAGCCCGCAGCCTTGCACTGGACACGCACTGAACCCAGTTCATTATCTTGTGGCAAGCATTCGAGCCAAACCGTCTCAAATGACACGACGCTTTAAACGCCGCATAGCAAACTGACCACGTTTGTCGCAAGATGTTGTGGCCAGCCACGATTTTTACGACTAGTAATGAGCCTGATCATTCGGTGTTTTATGTTGTCTAATTTGTGAAGTGAATTTTGGCTGAAAAGTCTGTGAAAGACACTGATCTGAGAGGCGTTGGAAAACAAGGTGTCACCACTCATTTGTGACGTCAGCACTAATATAGTATAGTTTGTGGCATATTTGTCACCTGTTAAAAGTTTCCTTATCAAAGGTACTATGCTTGTAAACATTTTGCGGTCCAATCTGTTCATGCAGCGAAACGTCAACATTTCGACATGTGTTTTACACAGGCTCACTCTGCAGGCGTTAGCGAGCACGTACCGATACTAAGCGATACGAGTTTCGTCTTACTAAGATGGTCTCTTGTAATGTGGTCTAGTCTGTCGTAATTTGTTTCCGTTTTTGCAGTTTTGTCACCATAACATTTTCACTTTCGGCTGCGTTATTTCCGTTTTGACAGCGTTAGATTTCTGCTTTATTACAACTCAAGAATTAGTCAAGACAATAAAGAAGCTGCCTTACACACGTAATATGATAAATGCATTGCAACATATCATAAAGCGAACAAATGAATGTAAAACACAACTGAAGATATAATATATAAATACAATTATAAGAAAGTGGCGTATTGACGTCGGTCTGTGCGCGGTGTTTTCTTTTCTAGCCTTATATTCTATGTAAAATGAATACTGTGCTGCTGTCACCTACCAAAGACCCAACATTCCTGTCGAATTTTGAACTGTATCAATCACTGTAAGGAACCAAGTTCACTGCGCAACAAAAAGAAGGCACAAAAAGGCACGCGATGATCACACGCAAACGGAATGTTCGGTTTTCGAGCGGCAACTTTAATGCAGCACACCAGGACAACAGCAGCGCAGCACCGTCGACCTGCAGAGCGGGCTAACGCATCACATGGCCACTACGCGTCCAGCCGCTACTGCAGGGTGTCTCTCCAACAGCAAGGACCGCGACGTCCAGTCTGTCCCCACCGCGCAGTATCCGTTCAGGTGGCGGAAGCGGCGGGATCACCTGGCCTAGGGCTGAGGCCGACCCACCACTTCCGCCCTTCGCTGCCGGAGGAGCGACGGCCGCCCGCTGGCAGGTCAGCCGTTGCAGCCTCTCCTCGTCGTCCGCGCACACCATCTGTCCTCCACGTCCCAGGTTATAGAGAGCCGAACTTCGCCGGGAGAACACGCTGTAAACTTTGCCACCGTTTTCTTAGTTCCTGGTGCTCAGCAGTGCGTTGGTGATCCTCGGCTTCCTGCAGTTAAGAACTGGTTCGGGGACAGTGGTGCAGTCTGTTGTTGATCAGTTGAACTTGTCCGGTCGCGGCTGGAACCCGGTCGGCCGCAGTCAATCAGCTCGAGCCACCGCTCGTGCGGGAGATCACGAACGTCCCTCCGAACAAACTTACAGATAACTGTCCCCTCACTTTGTAGTCTATGAACGACGCGAAAGTCCTGGCTCAACAACCGCTCGTCCCGGAGCACCTTCTCAAAATCTCCGCAGGCTTTTCTTCAATGGTTTCGGACTTACGGGCCCGAAATCGGAACATGTGGCGATTATGGAAGGTACCCTGCAGTTCATGTTTTCAATTGGTCTTTCAGATTCTCAGTCATCATGTCACTGCGCCCGAGGCGCTCAGCGAGCCGCTTCAATTCTGCTCCCCTGTCCATGCCATTGGACTCGAGGATCGTGGTGCTGCGTTGCATGCTTTTAAATGGCTTCTCTATAAAAAAATATAACCTTTCCTATGTCAGGTTTTTATCACCTTTTAACTGATCATTACAATCTCGGCACTGAGGTTCCCTCTTTGCGACGCAATTCGACTTTTCTGGGGGTTACTCCTACCAGACACTCGCCGTTTGCATCTCTTCTTCTCCACAGCCTTCGCCGTCTCCGGAACGGCTGCCCGTGGCTTCTGCTCGTGTTGCTGTCGTGGGCTCTGTAGGCTACAGCGCCTTCAAAACCGATTCGAAATCTGCAGAATCCGTTCCGATGCAGGCTTGGGCCATCTCCAGCAACAGTCTCAGTACCGTATCAGCTCAAAAGTTGAAATCCAGCCAGCGCCAGCACCCGCAGCCGCCATGATTCACCTATCGTCACTTTACTGCATCATGACGGATTACCGCTGTTGGCTGCCCGACCTCCCACGCGCAACGCTCAGTCGACCCGCTGGCACTTGCCCCGCCTCCGGCTGGAGCAAGCGCGGCCGCGTCCGGTCACTGTCAAGGTCAACCACCAGCTGACCCCGGAAAGTGTTCCGTTACACCATGACAACGGGTGGCCAGTGTCTGGAGCTCATCGCGGAGTGAACAAGGATGGTAAAGTAGACTGGCTGGTAAAGTGTTTTTATACCTTGACTTATACTCTTCAGGCAATCGATGGGCGTGATGCAGGAGGCGGTTATTTTTATATCGTAGATCGTTTTTCAATTTTAAAATATCTGGTTTTCTGTCCCGAACCCTGTAAGCATATGCTTTGAGAACGGGAGAGCATTTCCTTCAAACGTTAGTTATCTAATAATAATGTTAAATTAAGTTATGATAAGGATTCGTTAAAGTTATAAAGATCATGAACTATCATGACTACGGAGCTACCGAAGGACTTCATTGCGAATCGAACGCTGCAAAAACCTGACAACGTTTTAGGTTTCATTGCATATAACAATACCTGCAAATGTATTTCTACCTCACTCTCTTTCCAGCTTGCCTTTTTTTCCTCTCCTCTCTCTCTCTCTCTCCTCTCTCTCCCTCTCCTCTCTCTCTCTTCTCTCTCTCTCTTCTCTCTCTCTCCTCTCTCTCTCTCTCTCTCTCTCTCTCTCCTCTCTCTCTCTCTTCTCTCTCTCTCTCTCTCTCTTTCTCTCTACTCTCTCTCTCTCTTCCCTCTCTCTCTCTCTCTCTCTCTCTCTCTCTCTCTCGTGAATGACGTCAGTTGACGTCCACATGCTGAATTCTTATGAATGACACACTTCCCAGCCCGTTAATAGGAATCCTAATGATCGGTCGGTTACCAAAAGAATCTTGCTTATTTTTGGTTTTCGGCATCATCATCATGGTGACAACGAACACTTGACAGCTTTCACATTTGCATCGTCTCGTTTATCCTACGCACACAAAGCGTGATACGGGTCTCATGGCTCAAGATTGCCATAGCCTTGCCTGTAGCGCTGCCGCTAATACGATGAATGAACTTGATATAGGTTTTAGGACCTCTGGACCACGGAGAAACATGGCGACCAACTACCTGTTCATCACCGTAGAATAACACGAATGCTTTCGTGCTGTCGGACAAATGCTGTCAAACAGGCTATACAGGGACACGCAGATGAACCTCCCGTACGCAGATTATAATTGTACTTATGACTGGACATGGACGGCTGAAAAGGATCGCTTTTTCGTATCTCAAAAGCTTGACACATTGCACATAATCCAAAAGAGTCCATGAAAGAGATTATCAACTTTATCTACATAAAAGGTACTCGGCGGTGCGGGCACAAGGGTTTGTGGACGGAACTGCGATGCGGGCAAATGTTTTCATGGCTGGGCTAACCGATTTGGAAAGGTCAACACTCATCAGGCTCGTGTTGCCATTACGCTGCACGATCAGTAGAGACAAATTCATTCATTGAGCTGTAGTTTCACTGCTGAAGTGAACTGGAACCGCACTGATAAAGTGAACTGGAACTGCACTGCTGAAGTGAACTGGAACTGCACTGCTGAAGTTAACTGGTACCACACTGCTGAAGTGAACTGGAACCACACCGCTGAAGTGAACTGGAACCACACTACCTGAGTGAACAGGAACCACACTGCTGAAGTGAACTGGAACCATACTGCTGAAGTGAACTGGAACCACACTACTTGAGTGAACTGGAACCACACTGCTGAAGTGAACTGGAACCACACTACTTAAGTGAACTGGAACCACACTACTTGAGTGAACAGGAACCACACTGCTGAAGTGAACACGAACCACACTGCTGAAGTGGTGGTTTCCCAGCGCATGGAACAGACGGCTTGCCATGTGCCCTGAGCGCGAAGCCTACCGTACAAACCCTTCAGAATGGCGAGAGGTGTACGCTCAATACCATACATGTTATGCACCACCTCCAACAGCATTCACTTATCGCCGATTGCGATTACAACTCCACAATCGGCTCAGGATATATTGACAAAACATCACGAATGGCACACGATTAACTTACAAGCATACTGAGTATCACAATATGTACGATTTCCCTGATGCACGCATTCAAGTGGGCACTTTTAGTATTCAGGGCTGGTTTCGTACACGGGGGTAGATTCACTGCTCGCTGCTGGCTTGTCGGTGGCCCCAGACGTGTAGGTAGACTGAGGCTGTTCAGTAGGTTCTGGCGCGTAGGTGGTAGAGGCTTTGTGGGTGGGAACAGGCGCATGTGTAGGAAGAGGTGTATAGCCAGGTTTGTACGGAGCAGGGGCGGGATTGTACGGAGCCGGGGCGGGCTTGTGCGGAGCCGGAGCGGGCTTGTGCGAAGCAGGGGCGGGATTGTACGGAGCAGGGCGGGACTGTACGGAGCAGGGGCGGGCTTGTGCGAAGCCGGAGCGGGATTGTACGGAGCAGGGGCGGGGTTGTACGGAGTAGGGGCGGGCTTGTGCGAAGCCGGAGCGGGCTTGTGCGGAGCAGGGGCGGGATTGTACGGAACAGGGGCGGGCTTGTACGGAGCCGAAGCAGGCTTGTACAGTGCCGCCGCGGGCTTGTAGGGTGCCGGAGCGGGCTTGTAAGGAGCCGGGGCGGGCTTGTAGGCAGGGGCGGGTTTGTACTCCGGGTACTGGGCCTCTCCCTCATAAGTGACCTCGGCGTTGTAGCCGCCGTAGTGGTCAGCGACATAGTTCACGGTCTGGACACGGCCGTCGGGCAGAGCCACCTTGTAGTAGCCGGACGTCTGCTTGCCGTCGCTGTTCTCGTTGGCAGCGAAGTTCGCACCCGAGTAGTGGTCGTTAACGGCGTAGTCGAAGGCGTACGGCTTGGCCTCCTCCTTGTACTGGGGCTCCGGGTGGTAGGGGGCCGGCTTGTAGGAGGGGGCCGGATGGTAGGGGGCCGGCTTGTAGGACGGAGCCGGGCGGTAGGGAGCAGGCGCGGGCTTGTAGGGCGCCGGAGCGGGCTTGTAGGGGGCCGGAGCGGGCTTGTAGGGGGCCGGAGCGAGCCGGTGTGGTGCCGGAGCGGGCCGGTAAGGCGCCGGGGCCGGACTATAGACCGGTGCTGCGTGATGTGCCGGTGACTGCGCGGTCGGGGCTGCGATGACGGCGGCCAGGACGGAGGCGGCGATGAGGATCTGGAAATGTCGAACCACATGTGAGCACTCATCATCTTGACGCCACCATTCACTGCTTGTCAGCGTCCAACCTCTCGTCAATTTTTTATGAAGTTCGTTACCTGAAATGGCGGCCCGATCGCCTTTAATCTAAAAAGCTCACCAGAAAGACTCCTCCGCTTTTCTGCCGAAGAAATCCGGCTACGGTCAAAATCTGACGCAAGTAGCGGATTTCTCCACAGAACACAATGCTTTCATGCAAGGCACACGACATGACCTGAATAGTGAGACCACCGCTGAACCGGACCTCCCGGCATTCTCCATCGTCATTTCGTTCACAATTTCGCGGACCTTGTCATCAGTCAGTCAGACACTGAGAGCCCTACACGTTACCTTCATGTCTGGCCAATGACTGGCTTCGCGACACTGATGCCGACGCCTCCCGGTGCTCCAGTTTTTATGCAGCGAAGCGTCTGAGGATTGCCCGTTCGGTGACCGCGAATGTTACAATCGGAGCTGACGCCGTCTGCCCAGACGCGTGACGCAGGCAGAAATACTTGGCCTTCATCTGGGCACTTCAGGGAGCAGGTGCAGAACAGCCGACAGATGTGCTGATGATTAAAATTTGGCGACAGTTGAGCAGCATCAATGCTCTGGAACCGATTGGTGTATTGGATGTCTCCATTTAAACTGTTCTGAGAATACGTAGGGATTCGAGGGATTTTCTAGGCATGGTCTCCTTGGCGTAACTGCCTGGTAAATCAGCGCCATTGTCTTCACAAAGGCCTATGGCATGTCAGGAAAATGTGGTGCCGTTCTTGGTAAGCTGCTGTTCTATCTAGAAAAAGGACAATTCACTCCCGAGAAAAAGATATTTCAATATGGTTGACTTCTAATTAAAGCAAGGGGATGCTTTTGGAATAGTATTTACAGTTCACGGGGGTAATGGCCATGGATTACAAAATACTTTACTAAGGCTTAAGGGAAGTGCTTGCAACAACACGCATTATGTTAAAATAATTAGAAACATAAACGCTCAAACGCAGTTTCCCAAGGCACTCACACATTCCAAGACAAGTTGTGAAAGACCTTTCAAAGTTGGCTTAATGCATTTCTATCATCTCTACCATGTCTACCCATCTCCAGCCGGACTCTACATTACGTCTGCTCTCCAGCTGCTTGCACGTGTCATTTACCTCTTGTGACGGTTGGCAGCCGGCCTGCATGGTTTCTAAGCCAGCGGACTACGTTCTAAGAATTCAGTAGTAACGTTCGCGCGCAAAATTTAGGCTGAATGTGATCAACGTACTCGAATGGAAAGCTCACGTCCAGCCTCGCTGGCCGCGTGCCAGCCAGCCGGCAGCGGTTGGGCCATCTCACTTTTAGTCAGCGTCCCTTCGCTATTACTTTTGCTCTCGGTCCACTCACTGAAGCCAGCCAGATGGGCTTAAACAGCGAACGCCTCCCAAATTGCCTGGTACGCTGCAAGTCATCTAAAACATGTTATACCAGTTGCAATCATGACAGTGAAGCAGCGTTGGAGTGCTCATTATGCAGCATTGTGTTTTTGATGACGTAAATAAGGTGCACATGTTCACGGGCCTGTCATCGAGGCGATCATCACCAGCTGACGTTCAAAGTCGCACTCTTGCATGTGCTTAGGTCACATTCTTGCATGTGATATGTAAGTGAGAATGGTA